CACTTTCTCAATGTGCGTTTGCTTATTTATGTCTGCATCCATTTCCCCCTTTCTATATGTGTTTTTTAGTTAGCTGCACTGGAAGGCATCATATTGATGTGATGCTACGACGACTTTTCCATATAAGAGTATTCTACGTAGAGAAGACAGACCAAAACAAACACCAAGTAGTAGCATGACTATACGAACCAAAGCTAACAATATAATAGCACGAAGACATGAGGTATTCCTAACGTTAATATTTTCATTGATTCCTCCTGAAATATTACACCCAAATTCATTTATATGAATATTTGACTTCAAATTCAAAACTTTCTAAATAAATTTTGCCTATTTCTATTTCTTTAATTTTGTAATAATGATTTGCTAATAGTACTTACATTAGGCATATGATCGTCTATCACGCATATGAAAGTAATTCAACTATACTAATATATATATATATAGAGAGAGTAATCAAGCCAAAAGTAATTATATAACTTAAATTATCAATTAAATAATTTCTATTATCTATACGATCACTTTAAAGATGGTTTCAAAAGAGACATTTGACTACAACACTATTAAGTAGTCCTCACTGCACAACTTCGTACCTACCCTTGCTTTATTTCCCACATCACATATGATCATAACAATCTAAACCACATGAGAATATACAAGAGTAAGCTAGAGTTTTAAAATAATTTATGTATAACACTAGATAAAGTCAACATGTCATAGATAGTAAGCATATCATCAAATAATAGCTTCGCATTTGACACTGTCAACATACATCACTACCACATCAACCTCTCTATCAACATGAGAAACTCATGATAATAATCAACTATAACACCACAACAAAAACTACATAGGTGTTCAATACTCAACAAGGCATTTTCAACAAAATATATACAACATAGGCCGTGCAACACAACAACTAGGTACGTTGTCATGTACTTCAACTAGGAGATTTCTTACAATATAGGGTAAGTAGTTTAAGTGGTTTGACCCTATCGAACCAACAACAGGGTGATCTTTTTGGCTTGTTAGATTAACAACAATTAGTGGTTTGACCCTATCGAACCAACAACAGGGTGATCTTTTTGGCTTGTTAGATCAACAACAAATTGGATATCAATCCACAATATAACAACTTGGTTTCTCATATGTCACCATTTAAATAAGGAAGCCTAGTACCATTGTTAGGGTGGAACGACTAAGTTTGGGCCTACTACAATATTAGCTAACTTAATTAAGTCTTCTTTGAGATTAATCCACTGACTATCCTCCAAATATTGTCTTTTTGATACTAGATTAGGAACTAAGTTTTCGACTTCGTACTTTACTCAATTGGCCATTTTATACACATGTCTCGACCTTTCCCACAATACACGTTACCAACTAAGGTTTTAGATGTAACACCCTGATTTTTATAAAATTATATTAATAATACGTAGTATTTATTTTAATATTTTAATGTATTTATTAGAAGGATTTTTAATATTATTTAGTTATTTGATATGAACTTTATTTTTATATAAAACATATGCTATTTTTACTAAAAGGGAGAAGTATATTTTATATTATTTATCTATTCTATGTGAGCTCTATTTTAATATAAAAATGATTTTTACTTAATATTTGGATTATTTGCTATAAGACAATATTTATGAAAATATGTTTTTTTTTTATTAAGAATTATGTTTATGTTATTTATTAAAAAGAGGAAATATGTTTAATTATTTTATGAGAATAAGGGAAGGAGGGACGTAGTAGTCTTTTGCTAAATATTATTATTATTATTTCTAAGAAAGGAGGTTGTCGGGAGTTATTTTCATACTTCTCACTCTCTCTTTCTTTTCTACGCTTTGTACTCTAAAGACTCAAGAGAACCATGAGGAGGAGGTCACCGGGAAACCATACGCGCTTCATCTTCTACTCATCAAGGTAAGGGGGAGTGAGAAACCTCACTTGAGGGTGTGGGAATAACTATTGGGTAGCAGGATTGACCCCCAATCCCTTGCTTGATAGGAACATGTACTTTGTGAAAGTTTTCTATTTTGCTTTTCTGATTGTTCTGTTGTGTTCCTTGTGCAATTTTGAGTATGAATATGCGTTCAATTTCAAGAATAGATAAGATATGATATGGATTAGAATGCTTTATGGGTTCCTACGGAAACCCTATAAAAAACAAGTAAATTTTGAATGTTTTCTGTTTTGGCTTCTAAGTTTTCTGTTGTAGTCCTTGATGATTACTGAGCATGAATGTATGTTTAATTTTGAGTTTAGATATGTTTTGATATGGATTAAAGTGCTCTATGGGTTCCTATTGGAAACCCTATGAGAAACAGACAAATTTTGAATGTTTTTCTATTTTGGCTTTTGAGTTTTCTGTTGTGTTTCTTGATGTTTGCTGAGTGTAAATATGTGTTTAATTTTGAAAATAGACAAGTTTTGATATAAATTAGAGTGTTCTGTGGGTTCCTATGGGAAACCCTATAAGTGAAATTAGGGATATGATGTTTGGATGAATTTTGAGGCATTATATATAAAATTGATGATGGATTCGTGTTTTGGGTAACATTTGGAGTGTTTTGACCTATTGAAATATTATATTACTTGACTAGTTGTAAAAAAATGCGTGAAATCATGAAGTTGGATTTATGACATTTATGCTTCATATGTTATGAATTGCGAATTGAATGTGTACAAAGTTGAATAATTTCCTATTATGGTTTGTGTGCTATTCTGATGTATATGTCTATGAGAAGTCCCTTGTGTGAAAGATAATATGCACAAATGTTTTGATGATGCCAAAGTGATTATAAAGCATTGAAGAAGAATCAAGGTAAAGCTAAAGCAAGTTGATGCAAGAACAAGATCTCAAGTGGTACATAGATAAGTCTTGTCAACTTAGATAAGTATGTAAAAGAATCTTTTAGAATTGCAATCATGCTTGGCCTTGAGAATAAGTTTTCAAAAACCTCAAATTAATCTCTCTAAAATTAAGCAAGTTTTAAATCTTTTGAAAGTAAGTAAAAATGTTTTCTAAAGACTTAACAAAAGCTTTGAAGAATAGTTCAAATCATTTCTTAAAAGAGATTTGTGAAAGAAATTATTGATATGAATTTTTCTACATAAAATTTTGTGTAACAATGTAACAACATGTTCTGGTAATCGATTACCATCCCTTGTAATCGATTACCAGAAGAAGAAAACTTCTAAAGTTCAATGTTCAAAGTTCATAATTCAAATTGAGTTCTGGTAATCGATTACCATACCCTTGTAATCGATTACCAGAAGATAAAACTTCAAAATTTGAATTTAAATTATACAACATTTCAATCATTTTGAACTTTAACCGTTGTAATCGATTACCAAGTCATGTAATCGATTACCAGAGCCTATTTTCTGAAAAATTATAGAAAGTTACAACTCTTCATGAAAAGAAATAACCTAAGAAACAATTGTCTATAAATACTATAATTTTTCAGAGAAAAATGACGAACTCTATTGTGAAAATCATTTACAAAATCTACTTGGGCTAAGTCATTTGCAAAATTTCTAAAGAGTTCTTTAAGATCATAAAAGTGTAATATCCACTCTTCAAGAGAGTCATTCTGTAAAACTCAATAGAATATTGGATCTGTAAAGGAGAAAGGTTTTTTCTCCTTGTTGGTGTTTGAATCTCAACACAAGGAAAGGGAGTTCCGAGGTGTTGGAGGATACAATTCTTGTAAGGTTTACAAGAGTAGTGGAAATCTCAAGTGGGAGACTTGAGGACTGGATGTAGGCAAGATTGGCCAAACCAGTATAAAATCAAGTTTGCAATTCTTCTTTGCCTACACTTTTAATTTCTCGTTATTAATTCTAATTGTTTAGTTTGCATCATCGCTCATTCTATACATATAAATTTATCTAAGGAATTAAATTTGATAAGAAAGTAATTGGAAAATTTTTTATTAGAGGAAATTTAGAAAACTTAATTCACCTCCCCTCTTAAGTTAATTGAGGCTAAGTGACTAACAAGTGGTATCAAGAGCAGGGTTCTTGTATAAGGCTTAAAAGCTTCAAGAATTGAAATGGCCTCAACAAATTTTTTATTTCCCGAAGGAAACTCCATTAATAGACCTCCAATATTCAATGGTGAAGGGTATCATTATTGGAAATCTAGGATGCAAATTTTTATAGAAGCCATAGACTTAAACATATGGGATGCTATTGAAAATGGTCCTTTCATTCCCATTATTGTAGTAGGTCATGAAATAAAAGATTTACCCAAAGATCAATGGAGTAATGATGATAGAAGAAAAGTTCAATACAATTTGAAAGCCAAAAATATAATTACTTCTGCTTTAGGAATTGATGAATATTTTAGAATTTCAAATTGTAAAAATGCTAAAGAAATGTGGGATACACTTGAAGTAACACATGAAGGCACTAATGATGTGAAAAGATCTAGGATAAACACTCTCACTCATGAATATGAATTATTTAGAATGAATCAAAATGAAAGCATACAAGACATGCAAAAGAGATTTACACATATAATTAATCATCTTGCATCTCTAGGAAAAGTGTTTCCTAACGAAGATCTTATTAACAAAGTTTTGAGATGTTTGAGTAGGGAATGACAACCGAAAGTGACTGCAATTGCTGAATCAAAAGATCTAACAACCATGTCTCTTGCATCTCTATTTGGAAAACTTCAAGAGCATGAAATGGAATTGATGAGACTAAGTCAAAATGAAAATAGTGACAAAAAGAAGAAAAATATAGCACTTAAAGCATCTTCATCCTCTCATGAAGAAAATGAAAAAATGACAACATTGAGGAAGATGATGATGATGATGAAGAAGATTTCAATCTCTTTGTAAAATGATTCTGGCAGGTGGAGGAGGAGGGAGAGTGGTGACTTTAGATTTTTCATATTGGGGCGAGCTCGGGAGGGAAACAATTGTGTTTTATTATTTATTTTCAGATTTTTTTGAAAACAGTTTTTTAAACAAATAGGCCAACATGAGCATAGTAAAAGAAGAACATGCAGACAACCAATCAAAAGAACATGTGATAGCAGAATGCGGTACAAAATTAAGTTATCATGTTGATAAAGAGAAGACACTAGAACCACACTTCATAGAGAATTTAGAGAATAAGGATGCAAGTGAAATCACATTACAGGAAGCCACAAATGCTAAACAGCCTACTGACGTTGTGATGCAAAAATTAGAAACTAAAGGTAATTAAGTTTTTAAATTTTAGAATTCAAAACCAAAAGCTAAAAACAAACGCAATGCATATATTCATGCCCCCAAAAGAAAAATAACAACATGAATTAGATGAAATAAAAATTCTTGAATCCACATGCCTCTATAGGTGGATTATAATACATAATTAGTAATTATATGGCCCCATAAAGAAGCTTCTTGCAGCAATAATACCTTTCTAATTAACACAGAACATATAGATGTATTACAAGTGTAACATAAACAGCTGTGTAAATTATTGTTTTCAACATTTCATATCTATATTGATAGGTGTGCTTGAACATGAAGACCTACAATCATTGCCTACTACAATGTTAGTTGGAAACGATGCAGTTAATGAGAATTGTCAAAAAGAGATACAGCCTGAAATGACATATACCATAGAGGAGCAGATACCACAAGAAGAAATCAATGTAGAAAAAGACATTCCTGAGGTTTGATCAGACTACAAGAAACTAAACTAGAAAAACTAAAACAAATAGTAACTTTAACTTTTAAATTGCATAAGTAAATCATTTCTGTAAATTAACAAACAAAATCAAAATTATTGTCACGAAATATGCTACCTTCATGTTTTGACAGTTTTTTTTTTAAAACCGACATATAGGATTCAGGAAGGGACATGCCAACTTAATGTGGAAAATGAACAGAAATTAGAGAACACAAAGGACAATATCAAAACAAACTGACCACCAAAAAATAGAACTTATATAAATCTAATCCTGCAAGGGTATGCAAATTGAAGTACAACAGACTCCATTTACTGAAACACACGTAAACTCACGCTGAATTCACACTGAATTGCAAAGAAATATTTGTTTAAAAACAGAGAACCAACAAATTACTTCACGCTGTCTTCACCTTCACAGGGAACCAACAAATTACTTGGATATCCTCTAAAGTGTACCTACAAATCATAAGATACAGATTGATTGTAGCTAGCATAAAAACGTTGTAATAAATCCCTCCTAATTTCTTTAAGCAATCTTACTATTTAATTTTAAGCCCTACTCCCCTTCCCCTCCCAAAATCAAAAAATAGCTCATAGCACATGGAGCTATATTCATTTGATAAGCAGCAGATGAAAACAAAATAAAAATCTTTACCGTTAAATTCCACGGCCTCTCGGGCTCCACGCATAGAAGATCAAAAAGAACACCAGTGGGTATATACCTGCACGAATCATGAACAAATTGGTGAGTGCAACGCGATGCGAGAGTGAAAAAAGCATTGTAGACGCACCACTTAATAGGAAGGCCCTTGTATTCAAACCAAATGGTGTCAACTCCAGGGGGAAGCATGGTGCTGAAGTGAGGCTTCAAAAGCGAAATCAACAAAGGCAAGTAGCCTATCCTGGGGGCCAACAGCTGAAAGCGAAAAGAAGCGATGAGTTAAGCGAAGAAAGAGCGTGGGATTGAAGTGAGATGAAAACCCAAATGTAAGAAGAATACGAGAGCAGGTGGAGGAGGAGGGAGAGTGGTGACTTTAGATTTTTCATATTGGGGCGAGCTCGGGAGGGAAACAATTGTGTTTTATTATTTATTTTCAGATTTTTTTGAAAACAGTTTTTTAAACAAATTCTACATTAATTTATTAACTATAGTCAAAAATAAACTTGGTGATGCATGACAATAGAGGAATCAATTCTTGTTATATTTGATGAAACTAACCTTGATTGTCCAAGAAAAGATATTATTGATGATATTATACAAATCTTTGGAGACACTCATATTAATGAGCAAACTCATAAGGACAAAGAAGATGAAGGAAGGGAGGATTCTATAATTCAAGAGAATCAAACAAACATGATTCCTCAAAGAGAGTAGAGAATCTCAAGAAATCATCCTCTTGAAAATATCATTGGTCATATATCAAAAGAGGTAACTACTAGATACTCTCTCAAAGAAGCATGCAATAATTTGGTTTTTGTTTCTAAAATAGATGTTAAAAATCATTGATGAAGCCTTAAATGATGAACATTGGATAAATACTATGCAAGAAGAGTTAAATCAATTTGAGAGAAATCAAGTATGGAAACTAGTCCCTAGACCATATAATAATCCAATTATTGGAACCAAATGGGTATTTAGAAATAAATTAAATGAATATGGTATAATTATAAGAAACAAAGATAGACTAGTTGCTAAAGGATATATTCAAGAAGAAGTATATGTTGAACAACCTTCTAGATTTGAAAACTCATAATTTCCAAACCATGTCTTTAAGTTGAAAAAGGTTGTATATGTATTAAAACAATGGGCGGCAGAAGTGATGTGGTGAGGTTGGCTCATTGCATACTACGCCGTGAATCGCCTAAGCGAGGTCAGAAAAACCCTACACAAAATAGCATCATTGTTAGTGTAGAGGTTTACTTGTGTCGTATACAGGTCGATGTGCTCATTTACCTTTGGATTATTTTGTTATTATATATTTTTTGATGTTTCCAAAGGGGGAGAGAAAGAATAAAAATCATAAAAGGAAAAATACAACATTTATCTTAATCCTCTACTTGACTTTTTGATGTTGCCAAAGGGGGAGAGATAAGAACGCAAAGGAAAAGAAAATGTTTATTTTCTCTCTAACATTACTTTGGGCTAAGTTTGACTAAAATATTTTGACAAAAGTATTCTTAATGCCCAACTTGACACGTATGTTTTAAAATATAAACATTGATCTCTACAATCTTTTTCAAAACATAAGTACAACTCCTTTTATAAAATAAAAATGAACTTCAATCAATGCTTTACTAAGGGGGAGTTTAAGGGGGAGTGATCAAAATATATTGTTTTATTTTCTTTCCCTTTACAGTGAATTTTCATCATCAAAAAAAGGGAGAATGTGAAAGATAATATGCACAAATGTTTTGATGATACCAAAGTGATTATAAAGCATTGAAGAAGAATCAAGGTTGAGCTAAAGCAAGTTGATGCAAGAACAAGATCTCAAGTGGTACATAGATAAGTCTTGTCAACTTAGCTAAGTATGTAAAAGAATCGTTTAGAATTGCAATCATGCTTGGCCTTGAGAATAAGTTTTCAAAAACTTCAAATTAATCTCTCTAAAATTAAGCAAGTTTTAAATCTTTTGAAAGTAAGTAAAAATGTTTTCAAAAGACTTAACAAAAGCTTTGAAGAATAGTTCAAATCATTTCTTAAAAGAGATTTATGAAAGAAATTATTGATATGAAGTTTTCTACATAAAATTTTGTGTAACAATGTAACAACATGTTCTGGTAATCGATTACCATCCCATGTAATCGATTACCAGAAGAAGAAAACTTCTAAAGTTCAATGTTCAAAGTTCATAATTCAAATTGAGTTCTGGTAATCGATTACCATACCCTTGCAATCGATTACCAGAAGATAAAACTTCAAAATTTGAATTTAAATTATACAACGTTTCAATCATTTTGAACTTTAATCGTTGTAATCGATTACCAAGTCTTGTAATCGATTACCAGAGCCTATTTTCTGAAAAATTATAGAAAGTTACAACTCTTCATGAACAGAAATAACCTAAGAAACAATTGTCTATAAATACTATAATTTTTTAGAGAAAAGTGACGAACTCTATTGTGAAAATCATTTACAAAATCTACTTGGCCTAAGTCATTTGCAAAATTTCTAAAGAGTTCTTTAAGATCATAAAAGTGTAATATCCACTCTTCAAGAGAGTCATTCTATAAAACTCAATAGATCATTGGATCTGTAAAAGAGAAAGGTTTTTTCTCCTTGTTGGTGTTTGAATCTCAACACAAGGAAAGGGAGTTCCGAGGTGTTGGAGGATTCAATTCTTGGAAGGTTTACAAGAGTAGTGGAAATCTCAAGTGAGAGACTTGAGGATTGGATGTAGGCAGGATTGACCGAACCAGTATAAAATCAAGTTTGCAATTCTTCTTTTCCTACACTTTTAATTTCTCGTTATTAATTCTAATTGTGTAGTTTGCATCATCGCTCATTCTATACATATAAATTTATCTAAGGAATTAAATTTGATAAGAAAGTAATTGGAAAAGTTTTTATTAGAGGAAATTTAGAAAACTTAATTCACCCCCCCTCTTTAGTTAATTGTGGCTAAGTGACTAACACCTTGTATAAGACTATGTGAGTATGATGAGACAATGTGAAAAGTGAATATGAGACATGATACATGAGACATGATGATATGTGACTGAGACATGATATATGAGTAACTATGACAAGTGAAATGATGAGTCAATGAAGTGTGAGTGTGTGAAATGCATAATGTGCATCTATGTGATGGGTACGACGTGGAGTACATTGTTAGGGAAGGCCCTCCTTGTGTAACAGCTTGGGGGAGTCCTAGGGGATAGTGCAGTCTGGATGTCTCAATTCCATCTATTTGTGAGCACGAGACGTAAGTTGCGCTACTTCGCTATCCCGATCAAACCCTAGCAGTACATCCTTCTAGTTGAGAGTGTATGGGTAGCTCCCTACATGTACTCCTAGACTACCTTAGTGTGTTGTTTAAGCAGCACACTAGTGATATGTGATATGTGACTGGCGCCACATGCATGCATTTGTGAGTTGAGTCCATGACATTATTGCATAATAAGTGACTGTGTATGTGCTACTAATGTATGTATGACTTGAGTTGTGCTTGATTAATGCATGCTTTCACTACTACAAAAACACTGTTTAACATCGTCATATTTACATCGGTTAGGAGGAGAAATGATGTAAATATGAGAAATTCTACATCGGGTTTATGATTGACCGATGTAGAAATGAAATCCGGGAGTTGTTCTACATCGGTTTTGCTTAGGACCGATGTAGAAATGAGACCCTAATATTCTCGCGCCCACCCTGCGAAGGCACACTACCCTTTCAACGCCGTCCGCCTCTAACCACACCCAAACCCTTCCCACGTCGTTAGCCTCCAACCACACCCAAACCCTTCCGCTCGCAACCATGCTATTCCCTCACTACCTACTCGATTCCCCCTCGAAGATGACAAAAACGTCACCATAGCCGTGGCCCAGGGCGTCGTTCCCGTGCTCGTGCGCCTCCTCGATTCCCCCTCCGAAATGAAGGAAAAAACCGTTGCCGCCATTTCCAGAGTCTTCACCGTCGAAACTGCCAAAAACGTTCTCCTCGCGGAAGGCCTCCTCCTCCTCAACCACCTCCTCCGCATCCTCGACTCCGGAAGCACCTTCGCTTCAGGCGCTCAGCTTAACCAAGGACAACGCCAGAGCCATCGGTTCCCGCGACGGAATCTCCTTGCTCCTCGAGATTTGCCAGGCTGGCAGGCCTCCGCCGCCGTCGTGCTAAAGAACCTCGCCGCCTTTTCTGAAATCAGAGACAATTTTCACTGAGGAGAACGCGGTGGTGGTTTTTGTAAAATGTTGGCTGATAGCTGACCAGGTTAGAGTTCTCTCATGCAGCAAATTCATTCAATCGTCTCTTTACTGAATTTCACTACAATTGAGATCAAGACAATCAATTCTCTTGAATCTTGGGATGGAGGTGTGTTTGTGATGGTCTCAGGTTTTGTGAAGATAAAGGATATTAGTGGGAGGCGGAAGTTTGTTCAAACCTGCTTTCTCGCTCCCCAAGAGAAGGGTTACTTCGTACTCAATGATATGTTCCATTTCATTGATGATGGAGTAACTTACCCAAATATGGTACCCGTGGCATCAGAAACGATCGACGCACAACCACATGTATCTGCTTCTCTTGCAGAACCACCAGGTAAATTAACTACCGAATTGTGTTTTCTAGTGATTTGTTTTTGTTGGTTAATCGGGAACTTAAGAATCAAGATGATCAAAAGAATAGCAAAATGCAATAAGACACGAGAGAGAGAGAAAAACTGTACTGCACTAGGCTTAACACTTAGCCTTTTTTTATTTATACTGTTACAAGGGTATGTATATACTGTTTTCATATGAGACAAATGAATCCCACGTGTTAATCATGCATCCACGTGTCTAACATGCACTATACATCTCAGTAACAAAGTCATTGTCTGTCTCCCTGTACATTATCTGATGTATTCCAGATTCACAATTTACATTCTCCACCTTGAATCTGAATATCGGAAATCAAACCTTCACGATCTTCTGAAGCTTCTCTCTTCTCTTTCAGCAGATCAACCTTCCAGCCCCTTCAAACGAAGCCCACCAAGTCTAAGCATCTTTCAAACTTGCATCTTGGTAGAGATTTGGTTAACATATCAGCAGGATTATCCTCAGATGCAATCTTCACAATCCTCACTGTCCCAGTTTCAACCACTTCTCTAATAAAGTGATGTTTCACGTCAATATGTTTGGTCCTTTCATGGTACATCTGATGATTGGCCAAGTGAATAGCGCTCTGACTATCACAATGAATCTGAACACACTCCTGTTCAATTCCCAATTCATTCAGCATGCCTTTCAACCATAAACCTTCCTTCACTCCTTCTGCCAACGCAATATACTCAGCTTCTGTAGTAGACAAAGCTACCACAGATTGAAGATTCGCCTTCCAACTTACTGCA